GTTTTCAGATCTTTTTTTAGTGTATGTGGCTCTTACGTCCATTCCCGGAGGAGGACTTTGCTGACAGGGTTTGCGATGACGAGCTGCCACCCGAAGGTTTACTCGGAGGTTAGTGTTTTTGAACAGTGATGTCAAAAAGAATTATCCCTGGACCTTCCGTCCTTTCTTTCGTCGCAATTTACTCCCCAGTCACTCCCGGAGCCCTCCCTTCGCCATCACCCCGCGGATCTCCCTCCCCACATCCGCCCTCGACACCGAAGCCGACCCCCTCCAGAACGACACGACAAAGGACTCAGCACCTCGTCCATGACGAGGGTTACGCCCTTCACTCACTACTTCGGCTGCCAGCTGCTGCACGAGCTCGAGGCGCACAAGCAGGTCAACGCGTCGTACGCGCTCGCCGCCCCGATGCTGTATGAGTCCAAGGCCGCCAGACTAGACACTTCCTAGACACCTCCCCGACACCTCCCCGACACCTCCCCGACACTTCTGTATGAGTCCAAGGTGCCGAGATGTGGCCGAGATGTGAACAGACTTTGGTGTGAAGGGGAGTCTCCCCCCCTCCCCAGGGGGCCTCCAGGGCTCGCACCTCACCCTCTCACAGACCAGCGCACAGCGCCATGCGACGCATTTTCTTCTCATAACAAGGCTGTGAACAGACTTTGGTGTGAACAGGCGGACGGCTCGCTCGCCGCGCACGCCACGCAGACCAACCTGCGGCTGGTCAAGGACGGCTCGCCGCAGGGGATGACGGTGCACCACGACCACTCGCTCCGCCGCGCGCTCAACCGCGGGCAAGACTTCCAGGAGAGGGCCCGCAGACCGAGTTCATCTCTCCCCATACCTCACCATACCTCCCCACACCTCCCCACACCTCCCCACACCTCCCCACATCTCCCCACATCTCCCCACATCTCCCCACATCTCCCCCTACCAGGAGGGCCCGCAGACCGAGTTCATCTCTCCTCCATACCTCCCCATACCTCCCCACATCTCCCCCTATCTCCCCCTATCTCCCCATCTCAGGAGGGCCCGCAGACCGAGTTCATCTCTCCCCATATCTCCCCACATCTCCCCACATCTCCCCACATCTCCCCACATCTCCCCCTACCAGGAGGGCCCGCAGACCGAGTTCATCGAGGACCACGGCTTCCTCATCGAGAGCGACAAGATCAGCACCGTCATCGACCCGCGCGCCTCCTTCACGCTCGAGTACCTCGACATGATCATGACGATCCGCGCCAAGGGGTGGAAGGTGCTCTTTGTCCCCACCGCGCGGCTCGAGTTCCGCATCACCGAGTTCTCGTGGCGCGACATCCCGTACTTCATGTACAAGCGCTCCGAGGCGACCGCGCACGGCACGCGCGACTACCTCAAGGCCAAGTGGCGGGCAAACTTCCCAAACACGGGCTTCTGGACCTACATCAAGTACACCATTGTCGAGCAGCACGTGTACGACGCGCACTACCTCTCGCCGCTCGCGTGGAAGGACCAGGCGGCCCGGCGACACCTCCGGGGCACCTCTGGGACACCTCCGGGACACCTCCGGGACACCTCCGGGGACACCTCCGGGGACACTCTCCTAGACACTTCGTGGACACCTCCTTGCTCACACCTCCTTGCTCACACCTCCTTGCTCACACCTCCTTGCTCACACCTCCTTGCTCACACCTCCTTGCTCACACCTCCTTGCTCACACCTCCTTGCTCACACCTCCTTGCTCACACCTCCTTGCTCACACCTCCTTGTTCACACCTCCTTGCTCACACCTCCTGTTGAGAGACCAGGCGGCCCTCGCCTTTGGCTTCTTCCAGATGGCGGGCTACAACCGCTACTCCCTCACACCCAAGCGGGCGAAGCCGCCCGCAGACTTCCTCGAGGTGCTGCAGCGGCTCGACCGCCGCTGGGCGCCGCCCTCCGCCACCCTCTGCAGCCGGCAGCTCGCCCGCCCCGCGGTGAGCGAGACGCGGCCGGCCTACGTCTCCCACCTCGACGAGATCCTGCCGTACGGGCAAGGCTCGGGCGTCGAGGCGGATTTTACGCATGAGTACCTCACTGGGAGCTGTGAACAGCGTCTCTTCACACCTCCTGCTGTGAACAGGCGGACTTTACGCACGAGTACCTCCCCTTCGCCGTCGCGCGGCTGACCGTGCCGTCGTGCGACGTGCTCCCCGCCGCCACCGAGGCGGTCTGCGGCGTCCTCGTCGAGCGGACCGACGGGTGCGACTGCTGGGTCCACATGCCAACCTTCTCGGAACCTTCTCGGAACCCTCTCGGAACCTTCTCGCCAGGTGCGACTGCTGGGTCAACATGCCAACCTTCAAGTCCAACTCGCTCTTTGTCCGCGCGATGTCGCTCTTCGCCGCCGCAATCAAGGCGCCCCCCCCCCCCCTGGTTA